TGCGACACTGTGTACAAAGCAAATGTTGTGATTCAACTCATGTCACTTCATCAACAACAGCTTTTGGGTGCGATCTCACTCTGGTAGACTCTAATGCGACTGAATAGAAGGCCATGGTAACCAAGGCAACATGAAAGAAGTATCAGCACATATGTCTAACATACCGATAATAACCATCCAATGATGTAAACATAATTTGCTATTAATATTGTTTTTACAGAAAAAAAGAAACAAGCACCAGCAAGACCTCGAGGTGCCCCTCCTCCAGCCCCCATGCCTTCACCAATAATTCCTAGTAAGTACCTGTCTCATATTTATATTCTGTTTTTGTGTATTAGTTGATACTTTCTGACCTGTGTTAATAGCCATGTATGTACATATCACAGTCAGCTGGCGCACACGTGATAATAAAATAAATACGATATTTACTATATGGGGGGGGGCGCCATCTTGAATGACGCATAAAACTAAATAAGAGACAAGTTGTGAAACGCGTTTTTCAGATTCGTACAAATCAGGACAAAAATATCAATATTTCACAAAAATACGGTCCGTTGGTGTTATATTAAGCCAACCGATAACAAAATTCAGCCGAATTCGTCGTTTTTGTGTGGAAAAATCTCTTGCATACGAACACCTAATTACGCGAAGAACCTGGAACACTAAGCCGGGGTATTTGAAACTAAAAATTGGCATTCCAGCACAGCAGCCAATCAGCGACGGCCTAACGCTTAGATGACAGATTTCCCATTTGGATGCTATGATGACAAATGCTATGATGCTCCATGGAGCTAAAAAGCTCCATGGAGAAACATGTGCACCAGATATTTATGTTAACAACTCCAGAAACAGACCACATGACAGTGTTCACCATTGAGTCTTTTTGTTGATGTATATGGATTTACCCTGTCTATCAGTAATAATTACTTGTGTCTCTGATAACTTAAGTAATTCTTTTTTGATTGTTCTGAAAATTGGGTATATCATTAATCAATGTATAATCTCAGATCAGTTCAATTCTTGTATGTTGCTTTTTATATTTTTGGAGATATTGGTGAAAATGTGTCTTCAAAATCTGCATTAGCTTAGCATAGCATGTCACTTTGACAAAACTTTAGTAACAACTTTGAAATGCATCAACTCATCATGTACCCATATATTGTTCATAATGGAACATTACTCTCAAAGATCTGTTATTTAGTGCATTAACAAATATGTTTTATGAATTGATTGTCCAGCCAAATTTTGGTCAGTAATACATTTCGCTAATTTTTTCCATGTCAAATTTTGCTTGCATACATTATTCTTTTGGAAAACAATTTGAATAAGAGTATGAATTTTGTAAGTAAATGTTGATGATCTTTTTTTTGTTCCTTAACTGATAGGATTTTAATGACATTGAGACAAGCATTCTCTTTTATACCAACTGTGAAGTATGCTGTAAGATGTATAATTATTCTTAATGCTCAAATTTTATTATCTACTAATCAGTACTAATCATCAGACTTCAATGAAACACAGCACAGACATATTAGTTTGAATCTTGGTACATAAATTCTCTAAGATAATGCAATAACATGATTAGTTTGGGGTTAAAAATACCTACTGGTAATTTTCTAAATAAGTCAAGTTTTTGCTTGCGTCAATATCTCAAGAACATTTCAATGAAACTTGGTACATGGGTGCCCAGGAACAATACACAATCTTTATTAGTTTGGGGTTGAAATCTAAGCATACTAATGATCTAATTTTCATAATAATTAACCAATTTTTACCTTTTCCAGTGACGTTTTAGAAACTGATTATTGCATTTCAATAATACTTAACACATAAGTGCTTGGGCAAAATGCTAGTTACCTAAATAATTTTGAATTGAAATCTGATCATACTAATTACCTGATTTGCATTTTGCAAATTATGTACAATCTCATCACATTTCATTGAAACTTGGTACAATAGATGCTCTGGGGTAATCAACAGAGTTTAATAGTTTAAGCCATGCATATTGTTAAGAGGATTCTGCTAAATTAAATCCATATTTAAAATTGAAATAGAACACATTGTTTTAAATGTAGTCGTGAATTTGCTAAAAATAGCAATCATCCATATTATTCAATAAACACTGTGCGCCACATTTCTGTACAACTTGCTCATACTGACCATATCAAATAGCACAGATGTTAAACATACCTCACTTTACAAATCAGACTTGCCTTGCCACAAATAGACAAGACTTAGATAGTTCTTTTATGTTTTAGTCGTACTATCATATGGTAAATATTGTAAAATTATTAAAATACATAAAAAGCAAAACATTTCATCCACATTTTAAAAAGAAAATTGTTCTAA